ACTAGTATATCCTGTCGCAATAGTTATTATATGTACTTGTATATCCTGTCGCTACAATTATATGTACTAGTATATCCTGTCGCTACAGTTATTATATGTACTAGTATATCCTGTTGCTACAGTTATTATATGTACTAGTATATCCTGTTGCTACAGTTATTATATGTATAGTATATCCTGTCGCAATAGTTATTATATGTACTAGTATATCCTGTCATTCCCCAACATCCAAACAAATGAAATGCTATTTTTTTTAAACATCTTTATTTACATTAAAACCATACAAAATCTTTTAAAATGTAGTTTCGGAAACAATTACGAAAAAAACAAGGGTGATACGTATAAATAAGTATTATTTTGTATTTACTTTAAATAGAGCAATACACCTTACTTTGATACTGCCATAAGTTTATTAATGTAGAATTATGAAATACCATTCCAAAAGTCTTTTTTTAACTCCCAAAATTAAGCCGAGATGCTTGGCTGCCGTTTCTCAGATTCCACGTATGCCTATACACCGTTAATAATACAGTCCTCCCTCTTTATGTGATCCTTGTTTATCGGAAAGAAATTTCAACATACAGATGTCCATAATGTATTTTCCCCATACCTACCACCACCACCCTCACTTATTGACATCATACAGGCTACCCACCATATACAATCATATAAACTGTAGAACTTCCCCTTGGTATACCATCTGCAGACATTAATCTAACAATGTATTGTACTAACATTCAAAGCAATGTGAGTCTAATTAAAAATATGACCTGTTTAAATCTTAGTACTATCAAAAAAAGCAATTTAAGTTTATACAAATAAATAGTTTGGTCTTAAAATGGCATCTAGAGAAAAAAAAATTATCTTTCATGACTGTGATAATATTCTCTCGTATGTCATCAAATAAAATATCTTTAATTTTACCAAACAATTTGAATTTGGATTCATCTGTAAAGAACATTCTCCTCCAGCTTTGCTCATCCTATTGATTGTTTGGAGCCTGATGTCTATTTCAGTCTTTTGGCTTGGTTCTCTCTCTCCTAAGCAGTGGTTTTTGGATAGCTACACATTCACTGATGTGTATTTTACTACACTTGGGGTAACACTCATATCTATAATTACAGCTCGGTCACTGGCAAGAATTTTATGGATTGTTGTGAATCACGTAAAGAGTTACTTAACATCTCTTTAGACGATAGTGGGCTTTCTATCTTGACGACTTCTATTATCAATAGTGCTAGTTTCAGGCGCACTCTTCTGTTTCCACGCAGCTACTACTGAAATATGAAACTTCACCTCCATCTGTTGATCGGAGTAGCCTTTACAAGCTTTTAATACATATCTCATGTGGCATTTCTGTTATGGGAGACATAATTTCAATCACCACTTTACTGCTGGGAATAGTATGGCTGTCCATACTATTATAAGCATTATGTTGATGTGGCATTGTCTGATTGGTTGGAGAACAGCCAGTCTTAGTATATAAATTGTAAATATGTGGCTGTACTGTGGTGCAGTTAATTTTCAAAGAATGGAAGCGGTGGGGGTCCTATCCCATAATATTTGCAATTTACACTCATTTTATTCACTATTACAATATTTATTTCCAATACCATGTACATAAATGTAACTCGTACACTTCAATTATGTTGTACGTAAACAATGTACTTAGACTCAGTAAGAAACATTTCAGAGAAACAAAATAAAAGAAAAATATTTATTTGTGTTCGTAAGATCAACAGTATGGGGTACTTTAGTACGATGTTATTAAGAACCAGAAAACATTAAAAAAAAATCAATCTGTTAATCAAAACACTACTGCCAATGTAAGATTTACAGCACTGGTACTGTACAAAGCAAAACACAGTACGTAGTAAGAGTGATGTAAAATCTTACAAAACAATGGATATTATAAACTCCAACTTCTAAAGTAATAATACTATTCACACTTTATATATATATACACAACAGACAGTTACAATCTGTTCCAGTTTACTCATCATGATTACTCTGCCTGAACAATCTATCAAAGATTACCACACACACTTCTTTCTCAATTAGGTAAAGCTAATCCCCAAAAAGTTTAGTTAATAGTGCGATTCAATTGAAAAACGGCCGCTTTTGTACTTAACAAAGATATTTCTGCTACATTTCTAACTAAACATTTTTAACTATTAAACTTACAAGTTATAAACTATTCTTCTCTCCATAACTAGTAAGAATCCATGTCATGTTTTAACGTCAAAAAGATGCCAACTGAAATCAATATTTAAAGTCTACCAGATTTTTTCAATCTCAATCTTATGTTAAAAAAAAACAAAAAACATCTGAACACAAACTCACACAGTAAGCTTATTTTCTCGTTCTTCAGAATCCCTCAACAACTGGTTCACTTCTAGTATTTCTTTATTAAGGAACTTATTCTGTAGCTCATAGGCTTGTCGTGCATCCTGAAGAGATAATAGTTTATTTTTTACACATACATAGAAATGTACAACTGAAACATAAAAAAACCATTTCTTAAGCAGAAAGAAAGAACCGATTATTCAACTACAAACCACAACTACTCAAAAACTTAGATTTGGATACAACTGCTGAAATTTCCCACAACTTTTCCAAAGCTATAAATATAAAGAATGAAGATCTTGAAACAATTTAGTAGGAAGTAATTTGTATATATAGTATTAAAAACATGGAGTTCTTAAAAAAAAATTTAAATAAAAAAGGGTACCACTTTCAACACATAAAAACATTACAGTTTATATCAGCACAATCCAAACACTTTTCCCGTGCAGTACTTCCCAGAAAACTAATTTTTTAGAAATGTTCGATTCTTCTACTTTTTTTCAATAAGGAACGAATACTACAATTAGTAATCATTAGTACAAACAGCCAGCCATAGGGCAGCATTTGTGCTAGTTAAAATAAATATAGAATATTAACTCTTTCAGCGAGGGCTCGTAACCATTTTGTGCTTGTTATAGTTTTCATGCTATAACTTTTAAATTAGTAAGTCAATGTTAACAAAATTTGGCAGATTATCAGTAAACATTACAATGCTTTCATACGCAAAATATCAAATTTATTTATTAAGTCTTAAGGTTTGTAAAGCAATGTTTTTCTCATGCCTTATTTTCTTTTGACATGTTGCCTATCTATCATGTAAAGTAATTTTTATTTTAAGATTAAAAATACTTTTATGCAACAGAAAATTTTTCAAATTTCTCTTGCGAAATGTTTATAATGTCCAGATAGTTATCAAATGTTTCTTAAGAAAAAACTTTATATTTTATCTGTTATTTTCAGTAATAATTCTCTGTATGGGTTTGGTAGATTTGACTGATCTCGCAACCACCATAAAAAATTATGCCTCTTTCATTCTAGAATGAA